TCACCTAACCAAAACGATTTTAGGTAAAATCTCGATTTTGACAACCTTGCTTATAGATTTTTGGCAATCTTTAAATTTAGTATATATATTATTTTTTCCTCGAAGTTTTTAAATATTATATTTATTATGTTAAACTTTAAATTATTGTCATTTCACTCTATATAATTTTTCATACATAACAACTTAAGACTAATATGATTTATACATTTCAAATATGGCGAGAACAATAAGACTTAACAAAATCAAAAGATAATAACATTATAATCTAAATAAATGAATTTTCTACATATCGAATAAATTATCAATCAAAACTCTTAATTAAATCCAAACTCAAAGATCTTCTCCCTTTAAGTTTTTAAATTGTTTTAAGATTTTATTTTGTCATTTATTTTAGAAAGTAATTTGAGTAACAAAAACTTTAGTTGATAAAAAGACTTGAGTCTTTATTTGGTTACTGATTTTAATTTTTAAGCACTAAATTACATGTTCTCTTTCAAATTGTTTAGCTCTTTTAGATGAAAAATAAATGAGTAATGATACAGACACCGAAACTTACAGGACGAATTTAGAGGGCGACTTATGTGGCAAGTCACGCACACAGACCCCAACTCCAACCCCACTGACTGATTTGGGTTTTTATTTAATAAAGTGGCAAGCCACGTAAGTCGCCTCTAAATTCGTCCCGTGACTTTCGGTGCTTGCATCATTACTCAAAATAAATGCTTTTAATAGACAAATCGGTAATCAAGAAAAAAAAAAAAAAGACAAACATTTTGGGATGGAAATAATTAGATTTTGAAATTTTTTGAATTAGTTAATCTATTATTTAGGTATTATTATAATGAGACGCTGTTTCTTATTTAATAAAATAATTCATTTAATAAAATATTATTAGAGATATGAGAATGAAGAAAATATATTTATTTCTTAATTTTGTTAAAAGACTTAATAACTAGCATCATAAAAGATATTTAAGACTTAAGTGGTTAACAATAAATTATGTCATTCAATTTTCTTGCTCCACCTTGTTTACAGTCACTCAATTTATTAATAAAGTTAAGATCTACTTGCACAAAACTAATACACATATTATTTATATAAAATTTTGATTATTTATTTCTTCATTATAAATAATTAAGATTTATCATAACTCTTTATAAGAAAAGGAAAATTTTCTTTTTTAAAAAAAAAAAGATAAAAAAGTAGATGAACATCAACCATTTATAATAAAAAAATAAATAATTAAAAATTTTGATTATTTATTTTTTCACTATAAATAATTAAGATTTATCATAACTCTTTATAAGAAAAGGGCAATTTTCTTTTTAAAAAAAAGATAAAAAAGTAGATGAATATCAACCATTTATAATAAAAAATAAATAATTAAGATTTTGTATAAATAATGTAGGTAAAAATTGCTTGTAAAGTGAATCCTAATTCTTATTAAAGATGACTATTTTGTAGAAAAAATAATAAAATAAAATTTGACAACTAAATTAGACCACTTCTTTTTCTAAAGTTTGACAAGCTAATTTTTAATAATTTAAGTATTTTAATAGTAATTTTGTTTTTGTGAAAGTAAAAAATTTTAAGTTTAAATTTTATCGCATGCAGTTAAATTAAGTTAAAAAATAAAAGATAGTTATTTTTTATGGTATAATTATAACTTGATATTTAAAAAATAAAAGTATGAAAAGGAAATTGATTAAAGGGGGCAACATATAAATTATAATCTTATGTTTGGTTGGAAAAAACGGTCTTTCAATTGAAGCATTAATGGTAACATTAACTTTAAAACCCGGTACTTATCAATACCGGAGGCTAGCGTCCATGGTTTTGGGTTGCTTCCTTCTTCCTTTTTTTTTTTTTTTTTTTTTATTTGCATTTTTACTACAATTTAACCTTGATTTCCACGTTTTTCACCACTGGACAAGGGATGTTTCCACGTCTTTCCATTTGGCATAGGGATGCCAATGGGGTTCGTGGAGTTGGGGAGTCTCTTTTTATCCCTGTCACTGTGAATAGCGAAGACGGAGATTTTCGTGGAGATTTTTTACGAAGAGTAAATTTTACCCTCTGCCTTCATTCCTTACTAATTAATATTAAATTATAAGTTTTTTTTATTTTTTACATATAATTAATTAATATTCAATTATAATAAATAAAACTTTAAAAATTCAAATACAATTAACTAAAATTTTTAACTATAAAATCAAATATAAATGGTCCAAATATAAATAAAAATCAATTCAATATAAATAACTAAACTAACAATTAACAAATTTGTTCCAAACATAAACAAATATTAATCGAAGCTAAACTAAAACATAAATAAAAATTAAACCAACAATAGAGGGGAAGGTGAAAATAAAAATTAAGAAATGAATTAGGGTTAAGGTTAAATATAAGTAGGGGAATGAATTGGGTTAATTTTTATGGATTGGGTTGGGTTAGGTTGGGTTAGGTAAAATTGGGTTAAATTTAATTTTGATTGAATTAAATTTGAACTTGAGTTTGGGTTTGTGCTTGAGTTTGGGTTTGTGCTTGAGTTTGGATTTGGATTAGAGTTTAAAAGATAAAATTAATTTATATTTATTTTAATTTTTGCGGGGATAGGGATCCCCGCAGGACTCCACGGGACGAGAAAAATTTTCCGCGAAATTTCATGAAAAGAAAATACTCCCCATCCCCGTGACGGAGATCAGGAGAAATTGCCATCCCTATCTACAAGTAAATTTCAATTTAGACCAAAACTTTATTTTTATCATACAGTCTAACCTAACATCCTAACCCCACTCGCTAGTCATTGCTGGAAAGGTTTTTGAATTAATATAGAATTCTGATAAATGGATTGAGTACAACTTTACTCAGCTTGAAGACATCTAAATGATTAAGATTTTTTTTTTTTTTGATAAATAAGTGATTAAGAACTTTAAAAAAATTATGATATATTAGTGTATTATCTTATGTACCATATTTAAAATATAAATCTCGTCAAGGATCTAAATAATTTAATGGTTATTTCTTTTCGTCAGAATTAAAAAATTCTGAATTTAAATCGCATGATACGTGGATGAGGTTAAATAAAATATGAGAGATAATTATTTTTTATTGTGCAATCAAAATAAAACATATATATATATATAAATTGCGATGGTAACACTCCCACCATTAGCTTCTTTGGTTGGGTGGGTGTGCCAACAACCCTTGGGCAATTCGATAATTTGATCTAGGATTTAATCCATTTTTCTCCAACTTCCCCTTATTCAATATGTATATATGAACGGTATTTCTAAAATTCAAATATTTAAAGAATTTTATCAATTACCGAAACAAATCAGCAACATTCGAACTTGGACTTCAATATTTAAATCATAAACCTTCATTAAATAGAAAATACTTTTTAGGAAATTTGAAAAAAAGGAATCTCTTAATAGTAATTAAGGCACAATGCCCATTCAGTAAGCAGAAAATACGTGGGGCAAAGACAAAATTATTTAATTACACATAAATTAACCGAATTTTATGATCCAGTGAAAATTTTTCAAAAAATGTGTACGATGGAAATTGAGTAAAAGCCTGAATAGATGTATTTGGGAAGACAAGTCAAGATGAATTTTCTATCTAAAATGATTGATTATTTTTTAAATGAGATTTTCATCTAAAATTAGACTAATTATTTATTTGAGCACTATAAATAACCCATTATTTTTACAAATCGGAAAATTTTAAAATTAATTAGTGAAGTATCAGTCACTGTTTAAGTGGGCCAACAGTAATTTTCTTAGCATTCTCAATTTAACGGGGGTAAGAAAAATAAAAGAATAGAAAATGGATAAAAAATAATATATTTAGAATGTTATGTTAAAATTTAATTTTACAATCAAGGTGTTTTATTATATGAGGAGTTTTTTATATGAATGGTACATATATATTACAGCTTTAATTTTAAAAACTCTATTTTTTAATAAATATTTTTAAAAATTAATCATTAAATTTAATATTTTATTAATATAAATTATATATATTAATTTT